CACATTGGGCTAGCAGCTAAACATGGGGGTGGGAAAGGCAAACAGAAACCTTAACAAACCTCAAATAATAGCATTCTAAATATTTCCAATTTATTGTCTATGACCAAACTCTTAAAAACAGGGCATTCTCTGTCATCTTTCCTTAGATATCAGATAGGCAAGAATCATTAATGGAATTTTTTCAACATGATTATTTACTCCAAGAATAAATTTCCTCTCCCATTAAACAAGCGAGTGATGATTAATACGAAAGGGAAAAAGTGACAGGAAAGGGTAAGTTGCATCTTAAAATGTACTTTATGTCAGCATTTTGATTTTGTTTCTTTTTAATCTTTTTTAAAGGTAAATTTATTGCAGTATTTATTACAGTAAATAGTTATAGTAGACAATACATGCCTAACTTTTTTTTGTTTATTTTTAAAGGATGTCAGTTTTTAGAAGGCAGCTCTCAAATGCAAGAGAATCTACCACTGGATATGGATACCATTAGTTTTTAATTATTAAAAAAATTACGGTAAATAATTTTCTTCAAAAATTTCTTTAAAGGTTCTGCATTCCACTGAAGTTTGAGATCAGAACAACCAAGAGCTGCCTGGGATCATCATCTTACTTCCTCCTTTCCTTCTTAAATGTAAGACTGGTTTTGCTATTCCCTCTGGCATTAGTTCCAATAAGAATCTTCACTATTGATCTCCAATTTAATGTACAGATTCTTTCAGAATTTTCTGGTGTATGAAAAGGAAAAATTCGTCCAGGTTCTTAGATTGAACACAGCCCCCTCTTTTCAGTCTGTTCTTCATGCAGAAAACCAATTTTCCATTTCCAAGCCCTGTCTCCAATTAGCCATCCCACCTACCATTCAGTATACATTCTAGCTGTCCTCAGCAGAAACTGAAGTAAAATATTTAATTGGAGTTTGGAATTATTTTTAGACACTCCCTAATTTGTCTCACTCTCCTGAGCACAGTATCCCCATTCCTTTCTTTTTCCTCATTTCATGAGAGAATATTTTACATTTTCTTCAATATGCTTTGAAAGAACTAACTTCATTTCACAGTCTTAACTTGATCAAAATACCTTCTGACCTCTTAGATGAAACTTCATTATATTTTCTTATATAATAAGATTTTTGAGATGGTTATTTAAATCTGACATTCATCCCACTAATTTTGTTCCCTTCATATGAATAAATCCTTCAGATACTAAGGATCTTCCACATATAAGGTGACTATCCTGCCCACATAAGCACTTAAATCCAGAAGAGCACATATAAAACATTCTCTCATATACGGTAGTTAGATTCTTGTTGCTCATTATTGTTAGTCTTCATTAGTGGACTGCAGTTCAAAAGGTAGAATGAATTATAAGTGCACATGCTCAAGAACCAATTGTATTCTTTCTTTGTAACCACAGCTGAACGAGTGAACAAAAGTGGCATTTATTTAAGTTCAGTATAAAAAAAGGGAATAATCCATTGGTAGAAAAATGTATAACCCAGAAGGCACTCTACAGTGTTTTTCTTATTTTAAAAACACATTTTCAAAGAATGAAGCAAATAAGCCAAGTGGTTAAAAACACATTTTCAAAGAATGAAGCAAATAAGCCAAGTAGGCGTGCATAAATCAACACAGCCACCTTCTCCTGTTGTTCCTTTCCTGGCTTTGGGAAGCAATTAGATTTCTCTGCTGAAAAGTAACCCTCTTCTATAGAATAGACTCTAGTTTTCCCTGTCACAGGGAGAAAAGCTTTAACTGAATAGGAGGGGCAAGCTGAATACACAAACATGGACAGGAAATCCGAAAATTCCACATTAGCAAGGCTATAACAGTAACAGAAAGAGAAAAGGATTTATCCCATTTCAATAAACTACTCAGTACACTGACTAGAACATGGGCCAGTCAGAAGTCAAGCCAGTAAGAGTTTGTTCCCAAAGCAACAAGTACACTATTAATAGCTTCATTAACAGTGTCATGTCTTTCATTTCACTCATGTAAAGTGCTACTGATTTCTTCAATGAATCAGTTTATTCTATTACTACCCCCTAACACAACATAAAAGGATCCAACTCAGACTTTTGCTTTCTTGTCTTTCCACTGAGACTCAGGTCAAAAGAAGAAAGCATATATGATACAATTTTATGCATGATACAATTTTATACCAAAAAGCAAAATATAACTAGCATGCTTCCAATTGAGTGTATATATTAGAAGAAAGCAGACAAAAGAATGTAAGAAAGCAATTCAAATAAAGAAAACAGTAAGCATGAAATTATGCTAAGCCACAGCATGAAAAAAGTTATGACAAAAAATGGCTTCCATGGGAGAAAATTCAGCATACACAGATACTATTACTAATAATCTTAAATGTTTGTATTTTTAAAACATAAAGCTTAAAAATGAAGATTTAAATAAACCTTCACTGCTGTTACCTGAAAAGAATCACCTCTGAGTCTGTAAGAAACTACCACAATTACATATCCTTAAGCAAAGTATCATTTAATTTAACATGTTTTAAGTATCTTCTGTGGTTATTCCAGTTGCTTTATGGCAGAATGTTGTATTTAAAATATTGTAATTAGCTTCAACAGCATCTACAGTCATCACTTAATGTCACTGTGAGGTTTCAACACATTCTCCCTTGCATTAGATTGATTAAGTATTGGTTTGAAAACACTGCATGCTGCATAACTCCACAGTGAAGCACTTTAAAACAGCATCACATTTTTATTGAGCATTAGTTATGTGGCCTAAAAGCTTACACCAGGATAAAGCTTTCACTGCCAGAGTAAAGGTGGCTTGTCTCTATTTGCTTATAGCAATGACCAGAATGTTTCTCAAGTTAGGAAATAAAACTTCATCAGCAAAACATCTTAGGAAGGTTGCAGAATCTCTGCTACTGAGGCTTTTCAGAATGAATCACCACCAGGGGTGACGCAGGTGTAACTGACTGTGTCTTGGCCCAAACAATTAAGGGACCTCTTTGAGGTCTGACCTCCTCAGATTGCTGTTTTCAGCAACTCCATGTGGCAGCAAACATTGCCAGCTGACAGATGGTCACTTACCAAAAGCAAAAGGAACTAGCTTCATTCTGATCAGGTCACTGGCATTTAATGAAATTCAGTAATTAGCAAGCAGCAACCCTCTGACACATCTAGTGCCTGAGTCTTAGCTAGCATAGGCTTGAGACTGAACAAAGCTTCTTGACTGCCCTGACAGTCTAGATTTCTGAAGCCAAAAACCTCAGGCTATGAGCAAAACTGCATATCAAAAAAGTGGGAAAAAAACCAAAAAACCAAACACCACAACAAACACCAACTACTCCTCCTACAAATGCCATTCCAGGATACTCAAGGAATCCTTGGATTCCTAAAGCTTGAGGAATCCTTTATATTAGACAAAGATTAGATTATCTTAGACAAAAGACATTTCTGGAGCAGGAAGTCTGCTAGAGCAGGATGAAATCAGACAGGCATGCTTACTCAACTTCTTTTTTTACTTCACACAAACACACAGTCAACCCCCTTGTCAACCCACTGAAGTAGCCTTTTCTGAAAGGGGTCCCTCAAAAATCATCCTGTTAACCTGAGTGAATAGAATAGCTTTGCACTGCAAGCCTATTACCTGCTATGGTTAAGAGTACTCCAGGCCAAGAAAAATTTGGCCAATCTGTTCACAAAGAAAAGAGGGCATGAGAGGTAGCAATGAGTGACTGCCAACAGTTTAACAGTAAGACAGAGGTACTGGCTGAAGACTAGAGGAAGTCAGGCCACTACTAGTCTGAACTTGAAGACTGACCCTTATGAAATCACAAATTTACTTTATACCCCGAATGCAAGAATTGTAACACTGGCGTGATCTCAGACCAATGGCAAATGTAATAAAATTCAAAAAATTTACAAATCCAGCCCATGTTTCCACCAACAGGACAGAAAGACACCCTCATGTAAATTCATAATTGATTATAATTTCATTTTTGTCAACTCCTCTCAGATCCACACTCACCATTTCAGAAAATTGCTTCTACCTAGGAATATGCAACATTTATCTATGAATATTAATGCTTCCTTGTATCTACATCTAACTATTTAAATTTAACAGCAAGGTTTCAATTTTTTAGCCAGCTAAATTTAAACTCTAAAAACTTTACTTCAGAAACAGAAAAATATTCTCTCAAGTGATTTAACTGCTTAATTAATTTCTAAAAGAATCTATGTGAATTACAGCCTTGCTGCCAGCTATTCATGGCTGATAATACCCAAAAATTTAATATCATTTAACCAGCATAAAACTCCTGCAGACCTTGATGAGAGTCCACATTCATGATTATCCCCATCTACTCAACAATGCATCTAACTTAATACTGACCAAAAAATAAAAAAGCATAAACACCCTAAAAAGAATAAAACCATTAGTCTTGTCTGTATATGAGGCTGTGCATCCCTTTAGCAAACAGAAACAAAGGTTTTTTTCATTACAGTCAGTAATCCTACAACATGTTAGAAATCTCCAACACTGTGCTGAAACCCACAACACAACAATGAACATTATTCATCTTAAAAAATACTAGGATCGGACTAGGACAGAGTTATGGAGCCAACAGCAACCCTAAAACAGATTAGCTAAAAAATGGACCATCTTACTTAATAATGTATCAAAATTACTGGGTTTTCTACCCCCAAACACAGTCTGTAAACTCAACATAATTATCAAAACCATGTCTTGTTGCCATGTCTTAACACAGATTAAATTTTTCACAAACTATATTAAATTGTCACAAATTTTCAACCATATGTTTTCTTTTTTCCAAAAAAAGTGCTGTGTTACAGCATGTGACCTCCAATTTTGCATATCTGTGAAAAAAAAATTTGAAAAAAACCTGCTATGCAATACAAAAGTGGTATCTTCCTAAAGAATGTTCCAATTACCAAAACCTCAGCACGAAAACAAAATCATATATAAGAGTATGCTTCCAACATTTAACTTAAAAATAGTGCATCTTACCCCCTGTTCCAAGAACTTTCAGGAGCTCAAAGTTTTCAATGCCAACTTTCTCTGCATGGCCTGTCAAATTTGCTGAAGGGAAAAAAGAAAAAATCACGTCAGATATGTAGTACACCAAAAGATCACTCTGACATCTTACTACAGCCCCAGTAAAACCAAGTTAGCAGTTGAATTAAATAAGCAGTGCTAAGAAGACATCCCAATTTCATACTGTATTCAACTTGAAAATCAAGGGAAAGCAATTTTCTTGCTGCCAGTGTACCCAAAGGTATAAAATCCCAGAACAGCAATTGATGTCCATCTAGTCTGTATACACCATCTTCCAGTGTATCACTGGGCACCTCTGAAAATAGCCTGATTGCTGTCTGTAACTATGTGATTGGAGATTACAGACAAGGTGGAACTGCACTCTCTCTTAGCCCTAGCACCCTGAATACTCTTCTTTCTTTTTGGATTTTACTCTTTTTGGATTACATAGTGTATGGAATGACAAACAGAGCTCCAACAGCTGTTCATGCATTTAACACAGTATTGTTAAAGACTCTCCATTAGTACCAAGTACAAATTACCTTAAGTCTACATAACTTATAAGTATGGAAAAAATCTAAGCTGCTACAAAGTTGTGTCATTTGTTGCACAGTCTGGAAGCAGGAGGTTCTATGTTTATAAAAACCTATACCACTTTGGGTACTTATTTTGTCTAACATACATTTTTCTAAGCAGGGATATAAAGACCTCTGTTTGATAAAAGGAATTGTGCAGGGTTGGTTTATTGTTTACCTTTTTTTTCCCTAAGCTCCTATAAGAAAGCCTTATGCAGTTGCCATTTTTTCCATCTTTGATTCCTGTTATACTATTATGCATCCATTTGCACCAACATGACTACAAACCATTCAGCAAAAGCCCTCATGAAATGATCCAGGCCAAAAAGCAGCAAGACAATAAAGTAACTAAGCTTGATAATTCATGTACAAGTTCTGCTCCCTGATCCACTTTACTGAGCAGCTTCAGAAGCACAACCAAGGATGCAGCATCAAGCAGCAAGTGAGTCAATATGCACCACAGGAGCTGAATGGAGCTCACTGTACTGCTCCTGACTGCCAACAGAACAAATACTCCTGCTTCAGTACATCACAGCAGTAAGGAGGCCACTCTCACATGCCAATAAATGAGTTATAGCAAGTAAGACAAACTGAGTGTCTATACAATGAAGGTATATTCTGTCACAGAAGGTAAATTCAATATTACATATTTAATATTACTATTTAATATTACATATTACTCTTCTTAACAAGTTCTGAAAATGTTACTCAACACTGACAGTTTTAAAACACTATCTTTCCTGCCAGGGACATCAGAAACCACAGGCTATTCTAAAGAGACCAAGGCTACAGTATCTATGTTTTAATGAAGGAGGGAACATCACTGAAGAGATTCAGGACACAGAACTTCTCTGGACATCAGCTAAGTAAGCGCTGAACTGAGGGTGGGAAGAAAGTTATCACTTCAAAATCCACCGATTTGGATCTTCCACAATGGACTACTCCAGAAAGATTCTCTCACATCCTTTAAGAGTGTCAGCAGAAGGCTTTTCAACTAAACACCCTTCTACAAAGTAAAACAGTCACTTAATCCTTCCATATTCTTGGAACTGAATATGGTAGGATTAAGGAAGTTACAGGAAGAGTGGAACCCAGAGAAATGCTGCTTCTCCAGTAACATGCTGAAGATTTGCAGTGCTGGCTGCAATCCTAAAATGAGATTAAGCCTTAAAACTCAATCTATTCATCTAAACTGTACCATAAACTCACATTCAATAACATTAGTAAAACCTTTTCCACTTTCATGAGGCTACACAATAAAAAGCTGAGTGCTATCTAGTTTGAATTATTATGTACTTGTTTCAATGTGAGCTGTAATTTTGCACTTTTCCCTTAATTCCATTTTTACTTCCACTCAGGATGCTTAATGGCCTTATCCTAAAAAAATCTTGAAGGTTACTGGAATATTATTTTCATAATAAAAGGAGAAAATGACACCACAAATAAGCATGTGGTAAATGCAAAATAAGACCCATCTCATTCTTTTTACATTATACTGAGGAAAAAAGCCAATCCACAAGACAGCTAAAGGATGCTGCATAAAACACACAAGTATGACAGGACACATGAGACAAACTCTCTCACAATTCCTCCCCATAAAGCAAGAAGTAAAATTATCCTTAATTAAAAAATAGGAAAAACAAATCTTCCCATAAAGCAAGAAGTAAAATTATCCTTCATTAAAAAATAGGAATAACAAATCTTCAAAGCTGTAAGAAAAGATGAACAATTCCCAGAAAGTGCTCCTCCCAATGTTGCCACATGGCAATGGTTTTGCTCCAAGAGGCTCAGTTGCAGTGTTCAGTCCATCTCTGAAGTCCTACTGCAAAAAAAGCAGGCTGAAGAACCTGTTTCTGCCATTTTCTACTAACTCCCCTAGAGCAGTCCTTTGCCTTCATCTGCTGAAGCAGGTGCAGCACTTTGACACTCTAAAAGAGGTGAAGTGCAGCTTCTCCAGGATAAAAGTTGTCATTCCAACATTTCCTTCAACCTGCTTTCAGAAGCATAAATCTCAAAATATCAATTATTCTATTCACCACCCATTCCCAGAAACCTGAATGGCCATTTCTTGAAGACCTTTCACCAGGGATGCTCTCTGCAGTTACAAAACTGTTCCAAAACTGCAGATTTTAAAGGGTTGCAATGAGACCCCTACTGCTACTAGGACTGACAGAACAGTGGAAGGCTTCTCACACCTCACAGACATCACTGTGCTGGAAATGGTGATCAGCTCACTGCATACTGGCACAATTAGAAGAATCCTGCATTTACTAATATTCTACTGTAGTCCACACCCATCAGCATTGAATCAACATTGTTAAAGAGAATATGCAGCTGAGGGCAACAGCAAGAAATAACACATCAACTCAGAAAAAAATAGCAAATGGAAAGGCCAGGACATCATAGTCCCCATAAAAATAAAGAGAAAACAGAGATACTAGTCACCATCATCACCTCTGAAGGCAGGAAGAAAGGAAATATCCAGAAATACTACCACTGCAAGACAAGCCTCCCCTCTGCATGCAGGGACACCAGTGCCCAAAGAGCAGAGCTGTCATTTTCAGTTCCCTGGAAACAGGGCAGCCTGTCTATCCAGACTGTCTATCCAGCTCTCCTTGATGGAGGATCTCCAGATGATCTAAGAGACATGACTGCCATCTGCACTACACCTGAACTTCGAGAAGGCCTCAAGGGAACTAACAACTGTGCAAGCTGGTACTGTGCAATGATTCTGTAAGTTTTTAATTGCACTTCTAAGATCTTGAGAAATATTTCAACAGTGTTTGTTCTCAAGTTAAAATGTGCTCTGTCCTCTGCTTCTGGACCCCACTGCATACAGGTCTTGAAGCAGACAAACAAAGCTAGAGCTTCCTCTACTGAACTAGATTGAGCTCTGCCTGAAAGTTGAAACTTGTCCCTGCAACATAAAACCAATTCTTCAGTTTCACTGAGCAGAACAATGAACCTCAGGCAATTTTAGGAACAGAGAAAACAAGAAGGAAAATTAGAAGACATTCTGCAATACTCCAAATATTAGGTTGCAATGTTCAGTGTCAGTATCAACTTGATCTTGAACTGTTACTTCAGAGAACGGCCCATCCCCACTCACCTACCAGATCTACTGAGGTCACAGCATCAAAGATCAGATGTTGCTTTATAACTTGTATGTTAATGCCTTACTCAGAGTGGAGAGAGGGTGCACACTCCTTTTGGGGGGAAAAAAGCCCTGACACCATGCAACAGAAACTATGCAACTGTTATTTATTAGACACTGAAGAAAATGCACATGTTATCTGCTATATAGAGTTATACTTTGTTACTGGTTACAGCAACTAGAACTATTTGTGAAGGAAGTAAAAGTATCCTGCAGTCCTTGTAATCTGAGAGACCATTGCCACGGAGTAAGTGTCAGGTCATTGAACAAGAGCACCGTTTAATCAGCTCAGGGTACTATCTTACAAGCCTTAAGCGGAACTTAAAAACCAGAACATCTTAAGAATATTTTTCTTAGGCAAAAGAAAGAATGTAGAGCAAAAGTAAAACACACACAGAGTTCTGAACTCATGAGAAAGAAAAGAATATACAGTTCATGTTGCTCTGAACTTCAGGGTATCAGTTGAGGTAACTGGGCTGGTAACTGCTGATTCTCTAGAACATTAGATGCTTAAGGGTAAGACCACCTGAGCTGAGAAAAAAAAAATTTAAAATTTGAAAAACATTTCGAAAAAATTCAAGCTCTCACAAAGCTGCTGATCCCATTCTAGAGGGCTTAGAAGCCAAACTTGACAAAGATCTCTGAAGTATCAGCTAATATAGTATGTATATACATAATATTGTATGTATACATGTGTGCATGTACATGTATGTATAACAGCATACATGTACACTGCAGGGAATACAGTATGTGGAAATTCAGAAGCATAAAAAATGCGGTGGAAAACACAATAAGAAACAGTCACTACCATCATGAAAACAGAACACAGAAGACTATCCCACCAAAGATACTACTTGCATATAGAAAGCTGAAATAAATATAAAAGTCCAGACATCAGAGATTAATGACACAAACTCGGTAGTCTGGACTGGAAACTGCTCCATGTTAAGATCCATTTGCATTCAGCAGCAGCCCTTTTTCTCTTACAGAGCTGACTTCATGAGTTTTATCATTACTGTGAGCTGAATCACTATGAGGTCACCAAGACTGAACCCTGAGGCACCTCCATGGTCAGCTAGAAACTTAACGTGTAGCAACACTCTACGTCACATAATTGAAAAAAAAAAAAAAGAAAAAACAAAATGTAATTATACAAGATGCTAATGAATAAAATTGCTACAGATAATCTAATGCTGAAGAGAGTTGAAACAATCAGATATGCACAAAAGATTGTGCATATCCTCTCAAATAAAAAATTATATCTAAGTACAAGACATGAATCAACTTCAGTTTTCTTTATCATTAGTAATGAATGAAATAATTTATAGAAATTCAGTCACAGGCACCTTGGACACAGCATCAGAAGTAAGAGAATACAAATTAATTTATCAACCAAAAAAGAGCAACTGATAACTTACATGTTGATGGAAGGTATTTACATATTTGGTTACGCAGACCTTAACAAGAAAACTTAAGAATTATCCTCTCCCAGGTAAAGCTTTTATAACCATCTATCCAAGACAGCATAAAACATTTACAGCTGTCCAGGAAAATGAGAAGAGGAAACAGCCACAATAGATTCCAAAACAAAACATAAACCCAAATAAACTGACTGCAGGTAACGTGAGTCTTTCACAAACCAGTCTGCCTATCTGCAGACTGAGTCAGAAGCAAAGAAATCTCAGCAGAACTTGCACCTCGTTGTTGGGATTCTGTAGGGGGGAGGAGACAGAGAGCATGTCTACCAGAAGATACCAAATTATGTAATGATGAGGATACAACAGAAATATTTACATGAAAAATATATTAGAAAAACATCCTCAGATACCCAAGCCTTGTCACATGGTTAAGGAATTTCAGCAAGTGTTCTTTGAACTGCCTTCTGAATAAAATCCTAAGATGTATTAACATGGCATGTAAGACTCCTGATTGTTTTGTGGAATTAAGCCTGAGCTTTTAAACCATCACATTTAGAATACATTGGATCAGAGCTAATAAACAGGCTGACAATGAAGACTGCACCTATTAGTCCTCATTTATATTACACATTTTACAGAACATCACTGAAACAATGACAGCAAAATGATCAGTTGTGCCAGACCCTTGGACAGATCATTTTAGCCAGGTTTGTTGGATTCCAAAGCCTGGTGCAAGAAAAGCTAGCAAAGAAAAAAATCCCACTCAACAAAAAGAAACAAAAAGCCACAAACACAACCCAGGAAAGATCAATAGCTGTCCTTCCTCATAATCAAGGCTATCAGAAGATAAATAACAATAAATTCCTAGACTACAATGAATTTTTAGAAAATATTGATTACGTAAAGAGTAAAATCCAGAGACTGAAACAGTATTAAAGATGATTAATAAACTTAAAATACTCTTTGCTGTTCCCACAATTCAAGAAAACATATATTTTAGTGCTCAAAAGAGAAAAGTAGAAGCAAAAGCAATCCAAGCTTTGAAATAGCTAACTATTAGTACCTACTGATCCCTAAACAATATACAAAATTGTTATTATTTACATATTTTATAATATGTTATTATATATAATATATGGTTTAGTATGCAATAAAATATTACATCTGTATGTTGTAAGTAAGTAAAAACAAAAAAAATCTGTCTTACAGAAAATTTGATTTTAAAAGTATATTTTAAGTCTCATAAAGTTTCTTTTTAAAAAAGAAAAAATAAAGTACTGTACAGGTGCCAGATGTACCTCCACAGTGAAGGCTGAATTCACTATTCAGTGCATGATCCATCATGTTTTTTAGTCATAGGAATTTTCACAATTCCCTAGAATGTAACATGAACCTTCTAGTTTACAAATAAATCCATTCTAATTGAAGACCCCATTCTGGAAGGTATAACCAAAAATTTGTAATATTAAACACTATAGATAATCCACATATTTATTTTCTGAAGCTTTTTACAGTTTCATACTGAATTATAAGTTTGACTCAAAGGGAAGTTCCAAATTCTTGTGCCTTTGGAGTTCTGCAGGCTGTTGCTACATGAACTTCTGGGCCCTACGTGCCTTTTCTCATGCATGCCTGGCAAACTGCAAACTAAAGCAAGTTCTTTAGCCTAAAGATTGTGATAACATTAAAACAAATCCAGCATCCTCTTCAAAAGTCTTGCTAAAAGGAAAAGAACAAGACTTAGCTATTGTAAAGCAAAACAATGCATTTAAACCCCACTGCCCATATGTTCACAGAATGTCTCAAGCTCCCTTCACGATCCCAGTTTTGGGAATCTCTGCCTCTCCCTGGGCAAAGCAGGGAGTTCACAAGCATGGGCAACCTCCTGCCAGTCACTCACACACACTTAAGGTACAGGATCCTTTGATCCTTTTTTCCAGAATCAAGAGGAGGTGGGGAGGAAATCTCACTCTTAACTGTTCTGTTTCCTTTTTATCTTCTGATATCACAAGCCTTTTCTTCTCTTTCCATATCCTTCTCTATCATGTACAATGTTTCCTCTGATAGGCTTTATGTTTGCCATTGTTCCGTTCTGAAGCATTACCAAGCAACAGAAACGTTAAGATGTAACAATGTTATTTTTTCAGTGCAAACAATATGTATTTTCTAAGGTCTGCAAAAAGATAAAAAGTTGCATTAACTCTGAAAGTTAGCCCTCAAAAAAAAAACCTTTCCCTTTACAAGATTCCAGAAATAAATGCTAAAGAAAATGTCATTTTCTTATTATTTTCACTGGAGAGATTCAGTGACAATCAGAGAGAGTCACCACTTCCTACTATTTCAACTTTGGCATATTTTTGCTTCTACTTCCTGAAAAGAGATTCCACTTTCCCCAAAGACTCATTTTCCTTCCCAAAGTGAGACAAGTAAGACAGTGACTATTCTGAAGTGGCTGAATTATGAGCCTTCTATTAAGAACAAAAATGGCTGGGTGTTAGGAAAATAAAAAACTCCACAAATACAATTAGAAGAATATCATTATTAAATGATATGTGTCCCAAAAGTCACTGCTCCTTCCTATTGGCAAAACATCATATATATACACACAGCAGTGCCCAGTATTTGTAAGAGAGCACATCACATGCTATCACACACAGGCACTCAAGCGTTCCTTCCCTATCACAGACCCAATCTACAAGCCTAACAAGTGATGTTTTTCCAGCAATTACTTTTTGGTCATACAACAGAGGAATTTCAGGGCTCTAAGTCTATGAGATAAAAAGCTAAAATTAAACCTGACCCTACATATCAAAGCCAGCACTGTAATTTCAAAGTTTAAAAGAAGTCAAGCTATGGTATGATAGGGTTAACAATCAGCTGGTCTATGCAGAAACAGCACTGCATATGCTCTAACTTAATGCATTTTCATATACCTCCATACTTGCTTGGAGCTAACAACAATCATCTTTTTCATTCTTTAAGATCCTCATTTCATCTTAAATTCAAATTCTAAAGTATGTTCACTTACTCACGACCATAATAAAAGCCTGTCCCTAACTCATTTAACACTTTTAAAGCAATCTCAAGACCATGTAATTGCAAATGTAAAGTGAAACTGTGGGTTTACCTGTATTCAGCTAATTTGAATTAGTCAGCTTGTTACCATGGGGTTCAAGTAACTGCTTGCAAAATATGAACAGATACTCCCTTCTCAAAGAAGCCACTATTTCTGCTACAATAGTAAATTCTTTCAAAGCACTCTGGAGACTAACCTTTTTTTCACCTGCCAACTGACAGCTACTTTCAATCTGTAATTCTAAATTATTAAATTACTCACGGAGCTAGCAGCATCAAAGAAAGAACACAGAGATGAGGAAAACACTGGAATCTAAACAAATTGCACAACAAAGGATATTCATTATATAGAATATATTTAGGAACAACAAAGATCCGCTTGCTCCAAATTCTAGTTCTTGCCTGTCCTCTCACTCTCTTTCCCAAAATGAAGCAAAATTAAATAATCATCCTGCATATGCTTTAAAGATGTGGTGGGCCGACCCTAGTCAGCAGCTAAGCATCCACACAACTAGACCCAGTACAAAAAAACCTTTGAACATCCAAAGTATCCTATACCTTTATGTATTTCTGTATCAACAGAAGCTGACCACAACTTTTCTCCTCAAATTATTGTATCTCTGTGCACTGTACAGAGAAGTCCCGAGCAGTATCCCCACATGTCTTGCATAGCAATGACACTATTGACACCTTCGGGAGTAGGAGTCTCCCAGGAGTACATGACAGAGCAGCTCCCTCCTCCACCCTGGTGCTCCAGAAATAGACAAGTCATTGCTAGAAAGCATTTTTCAGAAAGCAGAGTATTCTAAACTGAATATGGAGAAGAGAACAAGGAGGGGAGTAGCAACTTATTCCTACTAAATTGAATTTCAGAAGCTTAAAAGACAAACAAGGTTGAGAATTTTTACAATAAAAATGATAGCTGGTACTTCATACAGCTATATTTGTGATCAGGATTAAAATCAAAGTTGCTTATTATGCTACATTGTTTATTCCTCAAACTATCTTTAAATAACAATCCCTCAAGAATACGTGTTCTCAACCCTTATAAAAGTAATATAGTAAAAAGAGACATAGTTATGCAAATATATTGAATAAATACGTCCCATTTCCTTTCCCCTTACCTTTTCCACACTTAAACGTAGCAACACTTATCGAGACAACTATGTTTTCCAGCAGCTCCTCCTTGAAAGAGGGAAGCTACAGTCCCTTCGATTTCTGTAGCTATCAAGAGACCGCCTTTTTTTTTTTTTCTTTTTTTTTTCCTTCTTCCCTCCTCCTCCTCGCCCCGCCAAGCAGCGGTGACAGCCGCGCTCCCCTGGGGCAGCCCCCAGGGCCGAGGGACAGCACGGCACCGAGGGGGCCCAGCACCAGCACCTGCCTTTGCATCGGCCCCTCGACAATGTCCAATACATTAACCCGGCGAGCAACCCTCCCAAACTTTTGCAGTGAACGGCATCATGTGCTCACTCTCACTTCAGCATGGAGAAAAAGACGATGACAGAAAAGGAATGAAGGACATGAGTTAACAGCACCTTCATTGTTAATCAATACAGAGAATATACGTTCTGATTGTGTTTTACACGCTCTTCTAAACTGACGTTAAGATTTAGATTTTACTGCGGTGTTCAAGTTGCCTGGAAACTTCTGAGAAGCAGAGAATCCTTACTAAAAAGAAATAAAGCTCTTCCCAAACACAACAACCTACAACGGAGGATTTCTGTTGGATCTTTAAAGGTCATACATATTTCACATGTTCAACTACTTCTCCAGAGGGTCGTCAAGTAACTACCGAGCTACAAGAAATCCATAGACTGAAAACCCAGATAACTCTGTGGTTACGTGTTGGCACATTCCCCTCCCTACAATTCCGGCATTTCACCGAGGTCAGAGAAAAGCTCTCACATAAAACGACTTCATTTAGGACTGGAACAAACCGCCCCCCCAGCACAGCTATAGAAGTCGATCAAACACACAACTTACAAAAAAATAACGTTTATAAGAGAGCGTGGCTACCCTTTATCTCCTTTAAAAGCGTCAAATACCACCAGGAAGTGGGACAGGGAAGCCAGGCATGGAGCAGAAGTCGACGTGAACTACTTTTCTCAGAAATAAGAGAAGGCCCCCTCCCCGCCCCCATCGTACG